CTCTGTAACCCCTTCCAGAAAAATGCCTCAGCCCTTCCGGCCACAGACATGGCCACCTTCCGGGCCCACTGTGCTCTCCCAGGTGACCCTCCTGGCTTCCTGCGCTTCAGCTCTGGCTGGAACTTGCTTAGGGACAGGGCTGGGTGGGTGGTGGCCTCTGACTATGACCCGCCCCCTGTTGTGTAGGCTCCACCCCAGTGCAGGTGGTGACTTGCCTGACGCGTGACAGCTACCTGACACACCGCTTCCTGCAGCACCTCATGGTGGTGCTCTCGTCGCTGGAGCGCACCCCGTCGCCCGAGCCTGTCGACAAGGACTTCTACTCTGAGTTTGGGCACAAGGCCACAGGTACCCCCTGCTTGGCTGCTGGGTGGGTGTCGTGGGCTGGAGCCCCTCTGTCTGTGTGCCCAGAACCTTCTCTCTCCACCTTACCTTTTCTCTCCCGATTCGTTGGCCGGGGCTTGCCAGCGGCTTTGCCATGTCCGAGGCTGCATCCCAGCAGTCCCCTCAGCGTCTGGCATCTGGCCTGTCCGCTGGCTTGTGGGGCTCTGCCTCTGTGGGACCGGGGCCTGGGTGGTGTGGACCGCTATTGCTCCCAGCCCCTCGTGTGGGCCATGTCCAGGCTGCAGCCCCGGTGGCATCTCTCTGCAGGGAAGATGGAAAACTACGAGCTGATCCACTCGAGCCGTGTCAAGTTCACCTACCCCAGCGAGGAGGAGATCGGGGACCTGACGTTTACCGTGGCCCAGAAGGTGGCTGACCCCGAGAAGGCCCCGGCCCTGAGCATCCTGCTGTACGTGCAGGCCTTCCAGGTGGACACGCCGCCTCCTGGGCGCTGCAGGGGACCCCTGCGCCCCAAGACGCTGCTGCTCACCAGCGCTGAGATCTTCCTCCTGGATGAGGACTACGTCCACTACCCACTGCCCGAGTTTGCCAAAGGGACAGGTACCGGCTGGACGATGGCCGCCGCGTCCGGGACCTGGACCGCGTGCTCATGGGCTACCAGACCTACCCACAGGCCCTCACCCTCGTCTTTGATGATGTCCAAGGCCACGACCTCATGGGCAATGTCACCCTGGACCACTTCGGGGAAGTGTCAGGTGGCCTGGCCAGGGCCGGCCAGGGCCAGGAGGTCCAGTGGCAGGTGTTTATTCCTAGCGCTGAGAGCCGAGAAAAGCTCATCTCGCTGCTGGCCCGCCAGTGGGAGGCGCTGTGCGGCCGGGAGCTGCCGGCTAGCCCAGCCCAGCCCAGCCCACAGCCAGCCCTTGTGGCCTGCCGAGTCCAGCCTGGCCTGCTCAGGACAGGGAAGCAGGCTCTTGTTCTTGTGAAAATGTGTTCTCTTCATCGACAGTCCTCGCGGAGAACGTGGATGTGTGTGTTCGGTTGTTTCCAATCCCGGCTATCCATGAGCCGTCAGCCGCCGTGTCGCCCGCCCTTGGAGTGACGTGTCCTGCTATGGGACCGTCGTTGACACGCGGGGCGCGGATGTGGTCTGCCCTTCTGCGCGTGCTCTCCTGGGTGTCGAGTCCTGTCCTTGTCGCTGTTGCTGCTGTTGTGGGCGTCCTGCTGCTGACCGTGCTGCTGAGCAGAGCACATGGAGGCTCCCACCCCAGGAGGGGAGGCCGCCACCGTCCGGACAGGTGGGAGAGCCCAGGGGCAGGAGAGCCCAGGTTGGGGCTGAGCGGGAGGCCCGGGGGCCCAGGTGTGATGCCTGTTGCCTATTTTCTGAATTCCAATAAAGCAGAGTTTGACAGTCTGGGTCTTCTTTTCAAGGGTCACTGGGGTCCAAGCAGGGCTTTACCTGGGGCATGGTTGGCCTGGGGGAGAGGGTGCCCCAGAGACAGGAGAGCAAGGTGCTGGGTGAGGGGAGAGGAGGAGGGAGGAGGGAGCAGTCCTCCAGGGCCTAGGTGCTTGTTGGGACCCAGAGATCTGAGAGACCTCAGCGCAGGCCTATGGGCTGCGGCCACACCACGAGCCTCGGCAACAGCCACGCTTGTGGGTCTGCCTGGGCAGCAGGGCACGCTGACCTTGGCTCGCCCACAGGCCTGTCACTCCTCGGCCAACTGCACCCGTAGGCTCCGAGTCTGCGATTGCTCGGGTGTGAGATCTGGGCTCTCACCAAGAGGGCCCTTGCATGGCCAGCTGGCCACATGCTGGTTAGGGCAGCCGGGTCTCATGGCTCACTGCAGTTTGGGTTCCTGACTCAACATGAAAAACACGCCGGGAGAACCAGCAGTTAGCGTAATGGCTATGTCGCTGGACTCCCACGTAGTCGACCGCGGTTCGTGTCCCGGACCCAGTGGCTTAAACTCACGCCGGGCGCCTGTGCATGCGTGCCCAAGATCCCGAGAGGAGAATGGAGGAGAAGGGATTGCGGCGTGACCATCCCCCCGGGGGGTGATTTCTCACTTTCTGTCTCTACGTCTCTCTCTGTCTGGCGAGCGCACGCGCCCTACAGTGAAAATCTCTCAAAAAAAAAAATTAAAAAATAAAAATAAATAAACACGCTGGGAGGGTGTGCATGCTGAAAATCCGAGGATGGAGGAGGGATGCAGCATGGCCTCCCCCCGCCAGAGGGTGCTTTCTCACAAATGCGCATGCACCCTGTGACAAAAAGTAAAAAGCCTTCAAGTGGCATCGGGTGGGAGGACCCATGGAGAGGTGGACTCAGGAGCTGGACAGGAAAGGAGGCGCCTGCCCATCCGTGCTGGCTCTCATCCTCAGCCTGCTGGCAGGACCTGGGGTCTCGGAGAATCAGCCTTTTGGGTCCCACTCTTCCTCAGCCCCACTCTTTACTCCCATCTTGGTCCAGGAGCCTTGAGGCTATGGGGGGCTGCAGCAAGGCCCGTGGAGGCAGGAGGAAAGTGGCCGACCTGGCTTCCAGACCTGCCTCTGCCCCACTCTCCCTGCCACAGGGGTGGGCGAGGAACTAGGTGGGCAAAGTCTTTGCTGCTACCTGCTCCTTGCCACTCCTCAAAGGCCAACCCGGTGGCTCTGCCAAGCTTCTGGGGGTAGGGGCATGCCAGAGGAGGGGATGGCAGTCAGCTGTCCAAGCAGGCCTTCACAGAGGCCCTTAAAAATGGCCCTGGACTGGGACCAGCAGTGAGTGTAGTGGCTATGTCACTGGACTCCCATGTAGCTGACCGCAATTCAAGTCCCAGACCCAGTGGCTTAAACTCACACCGGGCGCGTGTGCATGCGTGCCCAAGATCCCGAGAGGAGAATGAAGGAGAAGGGATTGCGGCGCGGCCACCCTCCCGGGGGGTGATTTCTCGCTTTCTGTCACTTTGTCTTTCTGTTTTCCTGGTGAGTGCATGCGCCCTATAGCAAAAACCTCTCCAAAAAATAAAAACAGGCCCTGGGCTTTGGGGTGCACTGTCACCACTCTGCCGCTATCATTCCCTCTAACTGAGAGCCAGCGACAACCAGTGGGGAGTCCAGTGCAGCCCCAGGGGACACAGCAGTCCTGGCCCCGGCAGTGAGGATGGCACCCACGAGGTGGCTCTGCGGGCAGCAGACCCAGAATCAGGTCTGAAACAGCAGCCACGTGACGGGCTGAGCTACTGAGCTCTTCTGAGCAGTTGCCCCTCGGTAACAGTAGTAAAAGGATCCACCTTTGGGACCGGCAGATAGCATCACTGGCCTCCCACATGGCTCACCACGGTTCGAGTCCCAGACCTGGAGGCTTGAAACTCATGCCAGGTGCGTATGCATGTGTGTCCAAGATTTCCGGGAGAATGGAGGAGAAGAGATTGCAGTGTGGCTGTCCCCCCAGGGGGTGATTTCTCGCTTTCCATCTCCCTGGCAAATGCATGCGCCCTGTAGCAAAAATCTCTCTCAATCCCACCTTCACTCCAGCCTCGGTCCACACACCCCGTTGTGCTCCTCTGTGATCGGTGGCCTGACACCTCACCCCTCCCCGCCCTCCCTGGGCAGACAGTCCTGTGGGGACTGACGGGACTCCATCAGTGCATGCTAATGAGCTGGTGGCCTAGGCTGGAACCCAGGTGTGAGGTGGCCCTGCAGCCTGCAGCCCGGGCCTGCTCTAAGCTGGTGGCCTTTCACCTGAGACTGGACCTATGAGGAGTCATTGTGTGACAACCTGAGGCAACAGCATGTGCCAAAGGAGCTGGCTGGTAAGGTGCAGGAAGGCGCAGCGGGGCTAGAGCGAGTCGGGGAGTCAGACTCCAGCACGTGGGGCGGGGTTCGGACAGTGGGAAGGTGGACAGGGCTGCGGAGTGGAGGGTGACCTGGGAGGAGGGAGTGCTGGACAGGAATGGGGAGTCGGGAGGAGGCAGACAGGATGGGCTGGTGGAGCAGTGTGGGCAGGTGAGTGGAGGAGGGCCCGGTGAGGCAGCTTGAGGCCTGGCAGAGTCAGCACCTGGAAGGGCCTCGGCAGGGCAGACGGATGCTCAGAGGCTGCCCTCCTGACCCCCGGCCCAGAGCTTGTGAATGAAGTGTGCAGTCGCAGAGCATTGGGAGTTCACGGACGCATCTGACGGCCCTGGGGCTCGTGGTGGGTTGCTAGATGTCCGGGCCGTGATGCCGGGAGGGTCCTGGGCCGGGAAGCCCAGAGCAGGGCCCAGGTCATCCACACCAGGGTCAGTGGCTAGCGCCTTCCCTTCCGCCTGCAGGCTGCTGATACGCAGGAGGAAATCCTGGCGGGTTCCTGTGGGGGTGAGCTGGCGGGGCCTCCCGGCAGCTTTTAAGGCGAGAGCCCGCCCCATCCCGCCTGCCTGCCCCGTGCCTGCGTCCTGGCGCTCGCGCCCCACGGCTCGGTGGCGCGCCCCCCCC